TAGATATAACGGTTAGAAAAAGATACCGATAAAGTATCTCACTTTCTTTCTTTCTTTCTCTTTCATTATCTTACGCTACGACGATGTACTTTTGCTACGAAGCTAAAGCTGTACCAGGTGATACTTAGGGATGACAAATTAGTGAGATAGCTGCCGTTGCCTGGATAATAAACGCTCGACTATGAAGATGTCGTGCAGGATGATATCTCGTCAAGGAAGATGTTTTCGAGATAATCAGAAGCTTCCTTTCCTCGTTCAACTTCGAAACTTGTTGTGTTACCCCTTGTTTCGATAAAATGTACTTACAAACTCATAATAAATTTTACTCCTCTTCTTTTTCTTATGTTTTTGTTGCCTTTTTTTCTTCTTCTTCTTCTTAGCTTTTCTTCTACGCTTATCGTGTATAATGGTCAAACAGGGAATTCGGATATTACTTAATTCGAAATTTTCTCTTTTCTTATTTCGACGATATCTATCTACACATAGAAATGAGAAATGCTTTTAAACTAATTGCACGATCCGCCGTCGTGAGAAAAACGGCAGATTGTGTGTTCAAAGAGAGACACCAAAAGTTCCAACGAAGCTTTTACCCTCTTTCCTTCTCCACGACTGCACACTCTTCCAAATCTGTTTGCTTTCCTCTCTCTCTCTCTCTCTCTCTCTCTCTCCCATTCCTTCTATCTATATATTTCTCTCTCTATCTCCCTCTTTCTTTTTCTCTAGTTTTCTCTTTAACGTGGGAAGAAGTTTTTTTTTTCTAGTTATACTGCTCCTTTTACCACGATTTCAAACGAAATTTCATTACACGCGACATCAAAGTACTCCACTTCCCTCTCGATGTTTTAACCTTTCCCTTCTAGCCAATACGAATCAACTAACGATACCTTCAGGAGTTCGGATATATATCGCTTATCATGGACACTCCATTCGAGTAATAAGTTCGATGGAATGTTCTGACTGGAATTTCCTGTCGTTAGCAAAGTATTGGCATTTTGTATCGAACGAATTTCGAGTGGCTTTCCTTTACTACGCTAAAATTCGAAGCTTAACTTCGTTGACGTATATCACGTACGTAACCCTACCTCCTAATACCGACATACCTTACTTCTCTACCAACGAAAATCGAACGTTACATAATACCTTTAACATCCTTTAAAATATTGTATATTATTTCTCATCTATGAAATATTAATCATACCTACGTATGTGTACACACTATATAAATACACACATATGTATATATAAATTAATAAATACATTAAACGTTTGAATTTCTCTCATTGATTATAAACGTTTATGGTTTATTACTAACGATCACGTGGTATACGTGACCAACAAAATGTTTGCATTTCGTGACTCTTATTTTCATCGTCTAGACGCGATTAAATCGTTAAACAACGATCACTTTACTAGATCATTTTCGATTACAGACGTAATATTCGGAAATAATATTAGAGAGAGAGAGAGAGAGAGAGAGAGAGAGTGTGTGTGTGTGTGTAAATTTGTGTGAGAGAAACAGGAATATCGTATGAAACTCGTCAGATGGAGCGGACACGTTCGATTTTACGACTCAGTTGTAGTATTCCGTAACGATTACAATCCCGCATGAGGTTGCCGTTATGCACGACAGTTTCAAGCATTTGGTGGTGCGAACGGTAATTGGAAATTACGACGCCGGATATACCTCGATGAGAGATAGATGATAACTATGAAGGGAAGAGAGGGCTTGTAAGGTCGATAGCAAAAGGGTTGTTTGTCTCGTACAAATATCTATCAAATGATACATTCTACGTGTTTCTGTTGGTAACATTGAAATTCTACGAATGATTGACACACGACAAATATACATATCTACATAATATATACATATATATATATTATTAATTATTAATGATTATATAATAATGATTTATTAATATAATTTATATATTAAACATATTTATTATAATAATGTTTGAATACAATATTCCAAAATTGTGTGAATAACTTTGATAAGAGATAGCAGAATTGATAATAAAAAATGAATTAGTTAAAAATAATGAAGTATATATCATTTGAGAGTTTATCGTTTGAAAGTTATTCTTTCTCAATACTTTTGATTTTTCTTTTTTTTCCTTTTTTGGTTTTTGTTTTATTCCCATTTATTTTTATCATCGAACATTCGTAGAAATAAATCCGCGTGGTTTAGAGAGATCACCGGGAGAAGCAAGCATTCTCGTACATTCCAAAAGCCATCACATTTTTCCACGTCTATAGGTAACTATAGCCGTTGAAACTTTTCGCGAGTTCGATAAGTATCTCTTGGAAATGCTATTAAAACTTGGCTACGAGGATGCGTCTCGTTCGACCGTGAAATGCCATTAAATCGATATACTTTATAAAATTTTTGTGAACACGTGGAACGCGACAACAAAATGAAAGTATAGTAGATAATAATAGTAGTAATAGTGACAATTTTCAAACCTTCGATTAGAAATATTTTTTCTTTTCCCGATTGTGATGGGAAAATATTTCTCACCAATTTCTTTATTTCTTTTTGTCAAAAAAAAAACAAACAAAAACAAGAATTTTAATTAACTCATTGAAATGTAAATGAATATTCTGATATCTTTTAGTATATATTTCTTGTATGTATTATACATGTGTGTGTGCGTGCGTGCCTGCGTGTGTATGAAAATCGTTTCATCTCTATTTAGAACATAATAAATTTGCTTCAACGATAATAACTAACGCAGGTATTACTATCGTGATTAATAACAGCTGATTAATTATGCCAGCTCATGCTACGGACTAAACTAAACGTGGCTGAGCGTTAGAAAAATCGTTCTTAAGCTAGGAGAAGAGTAATTTCTGTTGGATCCGTGTGATCACTGGTTTTATACCTACCGAGAGAAGGACGACGATGAAAATATCAGAGTATGAGATTGTGTTAGAGTGAATGGGATCAAGAGAATGAAAGAAAGAAAAAGAGAGGAAGAAGGGTGTGAAGGTAAAAGAAGAAAGTTTAGAAGGAAATTTATCGCTTGCTCACGATCGGTCGTCCAATGCGCGTATATCAGCCATTACAAACTTCCCCTTCGTTAATCGTTTAACGCGATAACATGGTCAGCTTGAAGAACACTCACGGGAAGAGAACATTTTTAATCGCAAACGCGTACCTATTATATACGATATACTTATAATTGAAGTTATATGATGGATTGCAAACGACCACGCTAACTAACAGCCCTGATTATAATTGATGAAATATTTTGTCCAATGAACTACATCCGAAATTATGATTGATTACTTACGTAACCAGAAACGTACGAGAATAAGAGAGAAGAAAGGAGAGAAAGAGAGAGATACCGTATGTCCTAAAAGTCAGGAATCCTAACGAACCGTAAAGTGTTATGCGGAATGTTATTTCCAATAAAAATAAATGAAAACGCGAAAGTTTGACTTTTCTTATCTTTTTATATATATTCATTACAACGTTATTTTGTTTCATTAATTATCGTTTATTTAATATTTATCGTCAAATGTTGAAGGGATTATTTTAATCTGTTAAAATATACTATTATTGTTTCCATTTGTTTTAGTTTTTTTTTTTAAATTTTTCTGTTTTGTCTTATAAAAAAAAAAAAAAAAGAAAAAAGAAACCAAGAAAAAAATTAAAATTAATTTTCCTTTCTAATCTAACACACGTAATCTAATTGTAAATTACCGTTAAATAAAATTCTACTTCGTTCGTGTTAGATCGTTCGTTGATTATTTTCTACTAACACGCGTAACGTGAAATCGGTGAGTAATCGAATAATTAAACACGAAGCTTTTTTCTGTTTTTTTTTTTTTTTTTTTTTTAAGGGGGGTAGGAAATGACACCTTTTTCACTTTCTATCTCGGTTGATCCGTGACACTTTAAGAAAAGCCTTGCATATAGGACGATATTGAAAATTATTTACGTTAGACAAAAATGTCTCATAGGTCACATCGCAAGGGAATATAAACTTTGTTATTTTTTTCCTCTCTCTCTCTCTCTCTCTCTTTCTCACTTTATTCCAAGCCCTTCTTCGTTTTATTTAATAAGTCAGTCGGAGACAAATAACAGTCGAGTGAAAATCTTCTGGGATTAACGTTTAAACGGGAAGAAGCTTTAAGTCTTCGTTTTCTTTTTTCCTTTTTTTTTTTTGTTTTTCCTTCAATTTTTAATTTAAGTAAGTAATTTCTTCGTATATCGAATAACGTAAATATTATTTATATTATACATTAGGTCGCGCGTCGCATAATTTCTCTATCGTATTTTATAATAAATGAATTTATATAAAGCATTAAAAAAAAAAACTTCGCAAAGATATTTATTTTAATGACAAACAGATCATTATCGTTAACAATTTGTCTACGTCTAGTAGGCAGTTTGTCAATTTTTTCATCGAAAAAATGCTCTACTTTTTTTTTTGACAAATGTTTTTTTATACTTTTGAACAAAGAAAGAAAAATACGATAGAAATTATACAACGACCTAATATAAACGTTATATTTTACATTTATGTGTGTGTGCGCATGGATAATTAATTTAATGTGTATTTTATGCCTTTGTGTGTGTGTGTGTGTGTTCATTGTTATTATTAAGTCATATTTTAGTTTGATAAAAATTAGTTTGGAAAGGAAATATTATTTCGTTAGTTTTTTGCTTGCCGGGCTCACACTTTCGATCAATCCGCAAGCGATTTATTCAAAATGATTTCAAGAAAAAAAGGAAGAATTGGAAGTCATTAGAAGTACGAGAACGATATAATGTAATTTGTTGAGCATGATGATAGTTAAATCGACGTTGAAAACGTGTAGATATTATAAAAAATAAATAATACGAATGGAATCAAAGGAAACATGCAATACGGCAATCATCAAATGTGATCATATATGATAATAAATAAATGTACGATAGATTACGTTGCTAACATCGACGAATATTCCCATCGGTAGTAGTGTATTCTAAAAAGTATCTCAAAAAAAAAAAAAAAACAAAAGAAAAACCTTACATTAGATATTATCTTTCGAATGGAACTATTATAAAACGTTCGAGTAAATATTTCCCATAAGGAAAAAGAAAGAAACGTTGAAAAACTCGTACGACATATAAACATAAAACTTTTTACGTACGTATACGACGTAAATTTATTTGAAATTAGAAAAATAATAATGACAAAGAGACGATGGATCGATCGTAAATTGGGATTATCTTTGAAGAAAAAAAAAATAAATAGCTACGGATTTGTTACCTTTTGTGTTGGATTTTGAGTCCTCTTCTTGGGTGCAGTGGTATGCCGTCTTTGAGCCAGTGAACTCTTGGGGGCGGCGAACCCCTCGTTCTGCATACTAGCTTTACTCTGTCTCGTAACCTTGCTATTGAGTCCCTGAGTTCGGACAACGAAACTTCTCGCACTGCAAAAGCAAAAAAACCAATTCATTAAAATTAATTTTTTTTTTATTATAGAGATAGAAAAATGTTATTTAATGTTATAATTATACGCGTTGAACTTCACATATTATTATCTCATTCGTTAATTAAAATCAAATAAAATTATTATTATTATCTTTGTAGACACATATATTTTTTAAATAATCGAAATTAGATACATAATATAAGTATGATTTTAAATCGCATAAATGTTTCTCTCTTTCTCTTTAATTATAACAAGACAATTTAACGTATTTAACATGAATATTTTATAATTCCTATCTTGATCAATTTATTATTCATTCATTAAAATGTTCGGATTAATTTTGTAAGAGAATTTAAACAATTATCGAACACCGAAAATGGAACGACAAATATTTATCATTTATATGCGTTATATTTTCATTTATAATAAGAATAATGGAGTTGAAATAAAATCAAATAAAATAAAATAAAACAAAATAAAATAAAATAAAATAAAATAAAAAAAAAAAACGATATACAAATTGTTTCTCTCTTCAACTAATCCCGATATTATTTTTAAGTTGTATATTGGACAAAATAAAAAAACCGCATGCGTTTGCTGGAACATTTTACAATTTGTTTTTCTTTTTCTTTTTTTTTTCTTTTTTTCTACATCGTCATATCTCATTTTATATTTGAACGTATAAAATCGTAAAAGGTATATATATATATATATATATATACTTTACGGAAAAAATATTGTATCCCTTAAAAAAGAAAATAAAAAAAATCTAGACGTATCATAAGAAATCAATTGAAGGTAGGGATGTTTTTCAAAAATTCTTGCCTTAGAAAGTATACGTCGTAATTATCGTTGCCAACGTACTCTCTCTTTCGTATTTTATATTTGATTTTATTTTTATATTTTTCTTCTTCTTCTTCTTCTTCCTTCGCATAAATCCTTGCAAGTTTTAAGACCATAAAAGGGAACGTATGCTGTTGAGAGTTGAGAGTATGCGTTTACGCGCGTTTTTTTTTGTTTTCTTCTACTTCTGGATATGTTACAATTGGGGAGAAAGAAGAATCAGGGAAAATAAACCAAAAGAGGAAGATGAAGAAAAAGAAGAAGAAAAAGAAGGGTCGGTTGAGTAAAAGGGGTGGAACGAAAGAAGAAATGGTAGAAAACAACGGCTTTGAACGATCCTTTGTGGATGGTTACAACCTTGCGCACGAAGAAAATGGAATAATATTTTTCCGTAAGGAAAAATTAAAGGAAGCGAATGAGAAAGAAGAATAAGACGAATAAGAATAAAAATAAAAAAGATTAGAGTGGGTGAAATCAGTTCTTCTCTCGCGCTGTTAGTTTTAATGAAGAAATTACGAAAGTCGATACCTCTTTTATGAAAACTTTTCTTGAGAAAATATTAGTTGGCGTTTAATAACAAGAAGACGATGAGAAAATTTTTCTCTTTTTCGTTTTTCCTTTCTTTTTCGTTTTTCCTTTCTTTTTCTTTTTTTTTTTTTTTTTTTTTTTTTTTTTTTTTTTTTTTTTTTTTTTTTTTTTTTTTTTTTTTTAACGCTTCGTCTTTTCTGCTTCTCACAGATTTGCCTTATTCGAAGAAGAAAACGATGGTGGGAAGGTGAGTGAGTGGGTGGGTTGCTTTAAGAATTGACCAACATTGTTCCATAAAGTTTAATTCTATGGTATGCGTAGTAAACGCAAAAGAAAGCTTTCCAAGGAATAGCTTTTTATTTGTTATTTTTTTTCTCTCTCTCTCTCTCTCTATCTTTTCTTTTTTCTTTATTCTACTGTGAGAACGGGAATGAATAAAAGAAAAAAGAAAAAGAAACAAGGATATAAAGAACTTCAAATGACTGACTTTTTAAATTGTCTCTTATTTATCACAAAGTTCTTATTTAACGCATTTATTTTACGATCCTAAACAGAATTACGAAACACACGTTAAATAATGGTCGTCGAAAAATAAGTACATATATCATTGTGGGTAGAGCTAGCAGTGTCATTTGTTTATGGTATGAATGCTTTATTAATTTAAGTGGAGATGATATATAACATACCGTAACTTTTGTTTCCAAAATTTAACACTTGATTCTACACATTGTACTTTACGTATTACCGCTCTTATTATATTACACGATTTTTTTGATTAAAAAAAAATAAAATTTTGCTCGCTCATTAAAGAAATATGCAGAGTTCGCTCGGCACATAGGATTTACGGGTGAACTATTTGAAATATTTTACGTAAATCGTTTAATTTTCTTCATTCTTTACGTTAATTCTATTTTTTTTGTTCTCTTTAATTGTAGTACGACTTTTGCCTCAGCCTAGGTATATCATAAAAAATACAATTTATATATAATTAGTATTTTAATATAAATATATATTATTAATTAAATGATAAAAGAGAGATAATAGAAGATAATAACATATATACAATATATATGTTAGTAGTTAAATACGTAATGATTAAGCTCGATGCTTCTTCTTGCTTAACATTTGAGCTTTGATAAGAATGACAATGATAGTAGTAGTAATAGTAAGGTACAGTGGCACGATTATTACAACACAATGAAGTTTATCAAACCCCACAACGTAAGCTTGGCAGATTATTTGTGACGTAGCGAGGCGTTCTGGAAACGCCTACGGCACTTAATACATTTCTACTATGAACAGTTAGGGTTCTATATATTACTCTATCTCAGTTTCTCTCTGTATAATCCCGTCCCTATTTCCTCACTCCTTTACTTTATCTTCCTCTCACTGATATATCTGTTACAGATTTGCTTTTTTGTTCATCACGAACGATGTATT